CATTCGGACTTAGGATTTAAAGGTTTGGGGTTTGCAGTTTAGGGTCATGGGTTTACGATTTGGGTAGTTGTCACAATTAAGGTCCCCTTTGGGGTACCCTCAATAATGGGTGCGGTGTTATAATAGGGGCCCAAAAACGGGACCATAAATTTGACAACCACCGGCTCAGGCTTCAGGGTTTCAGGTTAAGGGTTGAGGCTGCATCCCCGGGCACCTTCGTAAGTCAGGACCCAAGATGGTTCGGGGTTTGGCTGTTCATAAAGCTTTCCAGAAAGTTGAAAGGTGGGGTTTAGGGGTATGAATTTTCTTTGTGGTTAGAGGAATGAGGTTTAGGGAGTTGGTCGGCTGTTTTGTGTTTAAGGGTATGGCCCCATTTGCAACCACCCCCGGCAAGCAATGGCAACCGAAGAGGCATGTCTTTTTAGTGAGGGAGACGGCCGTTTAATGCTTAGGACTTCGACTTAGCGTCCAGTGTTCAGTTCAGGGCTTCGCCTAGTTTAGGGTTTATGGTTTATGGTTTAGGCTTTAGGGTTTAGGGTTTTGGGTTTAGGGCCATGGACCCTCCTTCCCTCGTGCAGAAGCTTCGTTCAGCGAGTTAAGTTGGAGCGTCCGGGGCTTAAGGAGGTTTAACTCACTGGCCCAAAACCCAACGGAACTAAAGTTGAAACTTTCAGAATGGACTACCTTATAAGAACCCCAAAAGTTCAAGAGTTGAGTTTACAGCCAATAGGCTAACGTTCTTTTTCAAAACTGAGCTTTCGAGTTGAGGGTGCCTCAGGGCATATTCTCACGACTCGAGCGACCACTCCAGTTCGTACGGCTGATGATATGAATCCTGCATTACCTTAATGGTTAATGACCCTAGACTTTGGGAATTATGGTATACAATCCTTTTACTATACTGAACTTAGAACCCTGGCAAAAACTATAATTTTAGCTGTTTCTTAGGGATTATACTAACCAAAAATTAAAAAATATTTCTAAGTACCCCTAAGATTTATAGGTAATGCAGCATTTATATCCGTATGCAAAGCCTAGGAGTGTTTAGAGATTAGGGATGCCGACAGCCGAGACGGACCATGGCCAAAAGCCTAAATGCTAAACCGTATCCCCAAGAGTCCAAAGGACCCAATAATCAGGTACTCGGTTTTAGGATAGTAGTTATGTAGGTTAGGATTTTGGAGACTATATGACTATTCGGTACTTGGACCCTTGGGGTATATAGCCTCTTGTCAAGTGACGGATAAACCGTTGCAAATGTATCCGCTGCATAGAGGCATTGTGCTTCCGTCCTACTATAGAGGCCAAAACGTCGCAATATCATGCCTAGGGTTCCTTTTCACAAGGGCTCTATTGAAGGGCACTTCGGGTATCCTCGTGAACCCTGAACCCTTGCACAACTCACACTTCGGGAGTATCTTCTGCCAAGGCACGATGGAGACATGGTGGTCTCTGTGAGCACCTTGAGAGGCTCAGCTCTTGTTAAGGGATTTACGGGGTCCTTCAAGGGATCTAAAGCAGGGTTCTACAATACAAGGGCCTTAGTAGATCCCGACTATGGTAACTTTACCCTCACACCCTAAACCCTTAAAGGAGCCCCTATAGATCCCTTAAAGGAACCCTACCATAGACCATAGATCCCGATTATAAATATGGCAACTTTAACTAAACCCTTTCGCAAGAAATTAGGAGAACCGTCGTATCTGCTTCGGCTCGGGGGGCTTACAGCTCTGGGTGTTGGGCTCCGGATTTCGAGGTTGTAAGGGTTCTTCGAGGGCTGCCTAAAAGGATCTATAGGGTGCCTTAAATGGATCTATGGGGTTTAGGGTTTAGGGGTTTAAGATTTATGGAACCAGGTCTGATGTAGGATTCACAGTTAGGGAACCAGGTGTAATTTAGGATTCACAGCTCTTAGCCCTCAACCCAGACCCCTAGACCACGACGGAAAAGTCCACGGACAAAATCGGCCACGGTGCAGGGACTGCTGGAAACTCATTTGGGAGTTTCCGAAAATCGGGGTACCTTATTTAGGGGTTCTTATAATAAGGATCCTACCATTTAAGGTACAATATTAGGGTCCCCCATTCTCGGAAACTCCCATTAAGTAGGTCCGAACTGGGGGCAGTGAGGCCACCCTCCAACCTGAACACTTAGGCCCGAAATCCTGAAGCCTTCGCCCAAACCGGTTCGCAATCGAACTTTAGGTTGGTGGAGGGTGCGGGTATAAAAGGGTTTTATAAAGCTGCTAGAGAGTTTAGGTCTTTGGATTTACGGCATGTTGGAAGTTACGTGGTTTAGGGAATCCCTGAATTGCAGTTGTTCAAAATACCGGTACCCCCAAATAGCCACAAGGTAGGTTCCCTTGTCGTTCTGGTCTCCAGACGAAGCAATGTATTCCCAAGAGTCCAACCTTCGAGACGATCTACAACAAACCCCCATGTAGGGATAGTAGACATATGGGTGGTTGTCAAAATTAGGGTCCCTTTTTGGGTCTCTATTTTATACGGCAGCTAAAATTTAGGGTACCCAGAAAGGAACCCTAATTTTGACAACTACCCATATAATTAACATGCAACATGTACGGAATGCAAATTGGGAATTGGGTGTCAAGGTTCAGGCCTTTACGATGTGAAGCGCAGCGTTGACCACTGAGGGTTTTTGTTGTAGGTTTGCCACGGCGTTTTGCCGGCTGAGGAATTCCTCGGGATTCCTTTCCTTAATTGCCCCAAAACCATCTTTCTTTACCGCGACCCCCTATATTAGAGGCTTCCTGCCTTGTCTGCTTTCCTCGGACTCTCTGAGCAATACCGGTATGCGCATACAAACTCCAGCAAGACGGCGGTCGGCAAGGTTGTAGTATGCAAGAACAAGAGCGACACTAAGCCTTACCAAGCCTGCGAAGTAAGACCCAGAAACGGCAAATAGTCAGCAAATACCAAGCTAGCCTAAATACTTAAAACCTGAACAGGAACAAAGACAAAACAGCTCCTTTTCGCGTCGCAGCCGCTCCGCTAACAGGCCCTCATAGCTCCTCGCGCTGCACTCCATCGTGCATGCGAGAAGTGAAATATGATACTACTGCGATGGCCCAAAAGTGTCCAACCCCGTCCACAGAGGCAACTGTCAGACTTGCCAGGTAGATGGATGTGTGCCCCTGAGACCCTGACAGCATTTCAACCATCATCAGGACATGTATGTCGGTTGATGAAGTTGGCCGAGTTTCCGGGCGAGTTCGTCTAGTTTCTGCCTCTGCTTCGGACTCTTTGGGGCACCAGCTGTAAGTATGCCCCAGCATGGGCAGTCGCTGCAGGGCATGACGATGTCTTGTTTGTGTCATCAACAACCTAAACCCAAACCCTAAACGGCGCCAAATCCTAGATGCCATTGACCCAAACCCTACACTTGCAACCAAAAGCCAAACCCTAAACCCCAAAGCCTAAGGTCACGTGTGCCCCTGCGCCGCAGGCCCCAACAGTAACAGCCTGAGAACTTCAATTCCTGAACTCAGAACGGCTGTAGAATTCAGTGCCAGATAAGAGTTTAGGGCTTAGGATTTAGGATATAGAGTTCTACCGGAAGGCCCAGCCAACAGCCCAAAGTTGACCCTTGACACCCCAAACTCGTGCGGACTGAACCCAATTAGACTCCTTCAGCTGCACATGTAACTGGAATCATAGGGCCGACTGCCTGCTGTGATCTTGCAAGCCTCTGCTTGCACACGGACGTCTGCGCTTTATCACAAAATTCAAGATGGCGCCCCCCGCAATAACAGAAACATCGAAAAGCTGAGCCGGGGACCTAAGGCTTCAGTCTTTCACGGTCTAGGGTTTCGGGTTTAGGTTTCAGTCTTTCACGGGCAAGTCCAAGGATCCGTTTAGAGCTTGTGCTTTTTAGGCTGTGCAGTCTCGATTTTCTTGGTCGGACGTTTGAGCATCTAGGTTCCGGAGTAAGCCCTTTATAATAAAGGGAGCCCTTTTTCCTAATATTCAGTTTTAATAAGGGGCCCCTAAACCAAAAAGGGCAAAAGGGTACTACTCAGGAACCTAGGCATGGATCACGGCGTGTGGAGACGGTTCTGTAAGATCGAAGAAGGCCTCGAGGGAGTTCAGGGTTGGTCAGGGTTCGGGGTGAGGTTTCTGGCTGCTACTTAAAGGATCATGGGACTTAGTAAGTAGGATATAACTGGGGTTATAAGTCCCCTATGTCGGGTTATCCTACTTGTAACCCACTTATAACACCTTACTTACTAAGTCCCATGAGCCTTTAAGTAAGGACCCAAAGATCTCCCCTAAACCCTAAACCCTAAACCCTCCAGCTGAAAGCCCAACCCCGACCTCCCAAACCCTAAACTTGCGACCCTAAACCCTAAACTTAAACCCCTAAGCCCTAAAAATGAGATCGCTGACTTCTTAGCCTGAGGCCTTGACTTGACCCTGCACCCTAAACCTCAAGCCCTGGACGTTAAACCCTTAATCCTGAACGTTTAGGTTTAGGGGTTTAGGGTTTAGGGTTTAGGGCTTAAGGGTTCAGGGTTTAGGCCTAAACCCTGAAACCTGAAATCCTGAACCGTAAACTGAAACGTCCCCCGAAGAACCCTGAAATTCGCCCCATTACAATTCGGAGGCCCGTCTACGACGGGCTTAGGTTTAGGGCTAAGGTTTAGGCCTGACATATCTGCTGAATACACATACTATACTGAAACCTTCTGTTCATGACTTGAATTATTCTGCCAAGTACAATTATGTATAGGTTCAAATCTTTTTCAGATGTATGTTTCCATATACATTGCAGCAGTTGAAGAACGGTCTAGAAGTACTACAACCCTACAGGACTGCTAATGTCACGATTCCCTGGAAGCAATGAATATGAAGCTCTGAGAGCAGCGGAATCTTTGAGGGTTTGGGGCTTGGGGTTTAGGGGTTCAGGGGTTTAGGGTTTTCTAAATCCAAATACACTTTAAGCAGCGCCATCCAGACATGTCAAAACTTGCTCCGGCGGCATCAGTCTGTCTTTGCCTCCAAAGTGGAGACACTCTTCTTTGCTCAGGGAGTATAAAGATCTTGCACTGATAAACCCTTTCCGGCTAGTGTTGCAGAGTACTATAGAATACTGGGCGGCATCTACACTGCACATGCAGTATGTAAGCCGCTCGTGTATAACATTGTATATGCATGCATATAGATGCATAGGTAGATAGATAGATGAACTAAGGCAGATATACAGATGTTATGGGCAGTGCCATATAAGCGTGTCTACATATGCACAAAAAGGTTTGTATAGGTGGATATGTAAACGTAAACGATCCCAATTGGTTTCGCTTCTTCGGACCCAACATACTGCTGCAGGCTCTAATACAAGCAAAGCCCCCCGAAGAAAACGGTCCATAGGGGTATTGTATGGGTAGTTCTCCAAATCAGGGTCCCTTGTTGCATCCCTGTTTCTTCTAAGGGTGCCGTGCTATTTTGGGGGCCTACAAAGGGACGCTTATTTAGCGAACTACCCATATGGGGATATCATACCGACCCCAACATAAGATACACCAAACTTTCGGAAACTCCCAGATGGGCTTCGCCTTTGGCATGCTGTTCTTCAGATCCGGAGCCCCCAAAAATGAGGTCAGATCTGGAGCTGGAAGTACTACATGATGCTGCCGTACCCGGATAGGCTAATATAGGGGCCTTCATAATTACCTATACTATTTTGGTGGGGTTCCTTATTATAACTATGGTATAATGAGCCCCAAAACCCTATTCTAATTATTCAGGCCCCACAAGTACCAGTGGCTACGAATGTCACAAGGGTGCACTCGGACGCACAAACTTAGAAGCCCCCTGTCCTGGAGCTCAAGAAACCCAAACCTTTGCAAGCGAACCAATGATGACATCCTAAGGCCTACTTACAAGGCCATACATACAAGCCCTGAATCGACAAACTTAGAACCCTAATGTAGGGGCCTTAATAATTAGAATAGGGTTTTGAGGCCCATTATACTATAAATATAATAAGGAACCCCCCCAAAAAATAGTAGTAGTAGTAGTTATTAAGGCCCCTATAGTAAAGTTTAAAGCCCGAACCTTCAGTCCCTAAACCTAAACTTGCAAAAGCCTTCTTACCCGAAATATAAAACCCGAAAAAACTGCTAAAACTTCGAGCCGCAGTCCTAAACTTAGACATGAACATGTAAAACCTTAAATTGAAGATAAAACCTTAATGATAAGGGTTTTGGGTTTAGGGTTTCGGGATAAAACCTACAAAACTGTTCGAACCAAAAGCCCCAAACCCTAAACCTAACGAAGCAAGCCCCTGAACAGAAACCCTGATAAACCACTCAAACCCTAAACCCCTAAATCCCTAAACCCAAAACCCCATCATAAGCCCAGTTCCTCGCCACTGCCCGGGCCTTCTTGCTTGGCGGCTCGGCGGCCTCGCCTTCCTTCGAGCAAAGATCCAATGCAAAGAGGCCTAGGATTTATAGTGGTTTAGGGGGCGAGGGTTTACGGACTTATAGGGTTTAGGGAATTAGGGTTTAGGGAGCTAGGGTTTACGGACCTATAGGGTTTAGGGAATTAGGGTTTAGGGGGTTAGGGTTTAGGGTGTAATTAGATGTATTACGAGCCGAGTGAGGCGGGCTTTGCGACGGAGGGCTCCATGGGCTTCTTAAAGGCTCATGGGACTTAGTAAGTAAGATTATAAGTGGGTTACAAGTAGGATAACCCCACTTAGGGGACTTATAACCCCAGTTATAACCTACATACTAAGTCCCATGATCCTTTAAGTATGGGCTGTAGGGCCTTGTGGGGATTTTTGATTCAGGCTTTCGGGCGCTAGGATCTCGCAGGCTCGGGTGTGAAACTTAAAGATTGGTCGCTCTAGAGAGAGAGAGAGAGAGAGAGAGAGAGAGAGAGAGAGAGAGAGAGAGAGAGAGAGAGAGAGAGAGACAGAGAGAGAGAGAGAGATGCATCTGTGTACTTTTTATATCTATATATATATATATGCATGTATATATATATATATATATATATATATACATGCATATATACATATATATACACATATTAAATTTATTCACATACACATGTGCATACACGTATATACTGTAATGTAGGCTTCACGGTTCAGCTGCTTATTACCACTGTCATGCTAAAGCGGATGTCCAAAAACTATTAGGGCATTGGGCCTGTTGTTGTAGTTATCCTCCTTCCTTAGCAAACGATATGCAAAGACACACTTGGATGCTTTTGGGAGATGCCGTTTGAAGGCTCAATAATCCCTTTAAAGGGAACCCTAACACCCTAAACCCTAAACCCTAAACCCTGAGCCCGAAAACCCGTTACCACACCCAAAAAGGCGGCCTCCTCAGGGTCTTCATCGAGGTCGGCCATGTCCTGTACCGAGCTGTGAGGGTTTTCGGACGGGGACTGTGGGCATTTGGGGGAATCCGGGGTCAGGGGTTGTCGGTTTAGGGTTTAGGATTTAGGATTTAAGGCTTAGGGTATAGGGTTTAAGGTTTAGGGTTTAGGATTTAGGGCTTAGGGTTTAAGGTTTCGAGTTTAGGGTTAGCACTTTCGGTTTTCTGGTTGACGGTTTTGATGTAGGTTCTTGGGTCTTCTGTTTTGGGTCGAGGGTTTTCGGCATCGCTTGCGGGCCTAAGGGCTCTGTGAGAAGAGAAACGCGCTTTGAGCACAACGTCCAGTCTTTGCAACTGCGGACCAGGACACACCTGGCTCTTCATGCTTTACATTACGGTTTAGGGTGCTAGGGCTTGAAGGGGGTTCAGCAACAAGAAAGGCCCTAAAACCCCCAAACCCGAATACCTGAAGCAGGAAACCCCGAAGCGAGACCCCTAGCGCCCTCCTAAACCCTAAACCTAAACCCTCCACTCAACAAGCGCACAACTGGCGCGACGGCGATTACATATAAAGTCTCCAGATGTTACAGAGCTTTCACTTTTCTCCGCGAGCCCCGCAGCCCATAACCCCTGAAGCAACCCCTAACCCTAATTGCGCAGCCCTGTACCCTAAACATGCGTGAACAATTAACCCAGAGCGCAAAAAGCCCAGAAACCCCAAAGCCCTAGTGCGTCTAGAAGCCCCAACCCCCCACAGACCCATCCCAGAGCATGCAAAGGAATACAACCCAAAATCATTAGGGGTCCTGCTAGAGTTGGAGGTATGTTCCTTAGTTTTAAAGGACAATGGAAGGTCCGGGATTATACAACCTTGAGGCCCTGAACCCCTCCTGGGAGCTGGGAAATCCGCAAGCCGTACCCGCCCAAAGAGCAATAGCTAAAATGAGAACCTACCACCATGAAGAGAACAAGACCAACTCCAAAAAAACAATTCAAACCACAAAGGCCGTCAAACCCTCTAAACCCTTTAACACCGCCAAACAAAAAGCACGACAAATACTGCATACATAACTCTGAATAATAGCACATACTATTATTCAAGGTTGCTTTTGCTTATGTTGTGATATACTTGTACACATACATACATACATACATACATACATACATAAATACATACATACATGCATACATACATACATGCATACATACATACATACATGCATACCTACATACCTACATACCTACATACCTACATACATACATACATACATACATACATACATGCCTACCTACCTGCCTACCTACATACATACATACATACATACTCACATACATACATACTACATACATACATACATACATACATACATACATACATACATACATACTCACATACATACATACATACTACATACATACATACATACATACATACATGCATGCATGCATACATACATACATACATACATACATACATACATACATATATATATATACATACATATATATATATATATGTGTATATATATATATATATATTATATATCATATATCGGAGCCCTATTCTAATTATTAAGGTGCCCTACATCAACCACATTCACCCTTTGAAACAAAATTGAAATGAACGCTTACTGCAAGTCGTAAGGCCCCTATGTAAACCCACATAAACCCATGAAAGAGGCCCTCAAAGGGGACCTAGACAGAAGTCTATTCTAATTAAACGGTGAACCCTAAACCTTAAAGTACTAAAACAGAAAGAACAAAAACCGTCGGCTAAGAATATACCTCAACCGAAACAACCTAAAGCCCTAAACACGAAAAAGCTGAAGACCTGAACTGAGAAGGCTAAAGCCCTAAAGCTGCTTGAAGATACGCAAGTCCCTAAACTCGAAAAAGCCAAAAGCCCTATCGTAAAACAAACTGAAGCCCTACGTCTAAAAAGCTAAAGCACCAAATTACAAAAAAAACGAAGCCCTAAACCCAACACCAAACTGAAGCCCTAAATTTAACAACAAAACTAGAAGCCCTAAATTACCTAAATGTTTAAGCAGGAAACCCAAAGCCCTGAATCAACAAAAAGCTGGAGCCCTAGATGAAAACACTGAAGCCCCAAAATACAACAACCTAAAGCTCCAAACTGAAACCTAAAGCCCCACTTGATTCAAAAACACGAACTAACGCCTCTAAACTGCAGAACAAATGAAAGCCCTAAAGTAAAAAAACAATAACAACCCAAAGCTACACAAACAAGCTAAAGCCCCAAACTAAAAAGCAAAAACCAAACAAACTGGGCGCCTCTTCTTCTTATTATCATACAAAAAAGCCCTACTACACCCCGAAACCCGCAAAACTCCCTAAACCATCCTAACCCCCCTAAACCCTTAAAACCCCCTTAACCATCCTAAACCCCCTAAACCATCCTAAACCCCCTAAACCCTTAAAACCCCCTAAACCATCCTAAACCCTAAACCTGGGCGCCTCCTCTTCGCCCTCCATGTCAAGGAGCTCCTCCTCCCCATCCTCGAGGAGTTGATCCTGGCGGGGAAAAAAATCCCTGGGAGTTTCCGAGGATTTGGGTGTACCTTAAGAGGGATCTATAAGGGTTCCGTAAAGGAGTCTATAAGGGTGTAGGGTGTAGAGTTTCCGCTTATGAGGGTCCAGGGTGCGGGGTTTAGGGTTTAGTGTTGAGGGGTTTAGGGTTGAGGGTTTAGGTTTGGGGGTATGTCGTTAGATGCTTCCATAGGGGGATTTAGGGTTTGGGGAGCCTCCGTTCGATCTTGAACTGTTTAGAGGGCTTGGTGTAAGTTTCTGGGCTTTTTGGAGGTGACTGTGCGTGCGTGTGTGTTAGTTTAAGGGTGTAGGTGGTCTCTACAGGGCCTCATGGCGGTTTTTGTATAGGTTTTAGAAGACAAAAGTGGGTTTTGACATGGATTTGTATATGTGGTTTTCTAAGAGGGTTTCGGGTTTAGGGTTGGTTTAGGTTTTACGCTCTAGGGTGAGGGGCTTGGGTTTCAGAGTGTTTGTCGGTGTGTACGTTGTGTTGTAATTTATTTTGGCATTTTTTAAATTTCCCTTGGGGTCGACCGAGGTTGTAGAGGTATTTCGGTGCTTGACAGTCGGTTCATGAAGGGATTCCGAGTTTCGAGGAGTCTAGGTCTTACACTCTGGTGGTTGCAGAAACCCCTACCCCTAAATCCGCAAACCTAAACCCTAAACCCGTCAACCCTGAAACCTAACCCCACAGTCCAGAGTCCTAGAGGGTCCTAGGGTTTACAGCTTTGGGGTTGCGGGTTTTGGTTTCGAGTTTTACGAGTTTTAACGAAAAACGGACTTGCTAGGGAAGCTTCTGAGGTTTGCGACTGAGCAAGTAAGGCTTCAAGGAACTTAAGTGGGGCTATGAGCGATGATACGTCAAGTATAGCTAACGTAGCAATAAACTGGGGCATAGCATTGCGGCTCAGTGGGATTTTGGGATGTATTGAATTATCTAGACATATTGAGGAACCCTCAATTCTACAAAACTAATTAATGCCATATACTACTTGATTTGTTCCCTCTTGAGAAACCCTAAACCCTAAACTCCTAAGAAGACAAGCAGCTGTAACAAGACCTTTGAACAGCTATATCAATCCCTTTCAACATTCCAAAGCAAGCTGTATACAAACCCCGAAACACTCTTAACCCCAAACACAACTACTGAAAAGCAACTGCCCTAAACCCTAACCCTGACTCTAGTAGCCCGGGATGTCCTGGTCGAGCACCTCCTTCCACTGCTTCGCCGTCATCGGGGCAGGACGATCCTGAGAGAGCTCTTTTGAGGCTTTCGGGTTGAGGGTCCAGGAGTTACCCCAAGGGTCCAAGTAATTAAGAATCATAAACTCTCCCAAATACTAACCTACATAACTACTATATATGCTAAACCCGAGTACCTGATTATTGGGTCCTTTGGACCCTTAGGGTTAGGGAAGTTTTGGGGTTGAGGGAAGTTTAAGGGGTTTTGGGCTTTAGGGCCGGGTTTGGGCTTGAAAGAAACGGCTTATTGGCGCTATGCACGTGTGCCACAACAGTTTTTGAGGGTTGGATACTTAAAGGATCAAGGGACTTAGTAAGTAGGTCATAATCGGGGGTAAAAGTCCCCTAAGTGGGGTTATCCTAATTATAACCTACTTATAATCTTACTTGCTACGTCATGTGAGCCTTTAAGTAGGGTCCAGAAACCCCCACCCCTAAATCCGAAAACCTAAACCCTAAACCCGTCAACCCTGAACCCTTAAATCCTGAACCCTACAGTCCAGAGTCCTAGAGGGTCCTAGGGTTTAGCGCTTTAGAGTTGCGGGTTCTTGCTAAGCCCAGAGGGTCCTATATACACTACTATTATGGAATTAGGTCCCCAAAACCATAAGGGGGATGCTCTTTTTAGGGCCTAATTCCACAATAGTAGTGTATGGACCCTCTGGGTAAGTCCCGTGAGCCTTTTCAGTATGGGGATTATGGGGATTATGGGGCTTCAGGCCTCTGCAAGGAACCTCACAGTTCCGGCCTAGGCTTTGGGGAAGTTGGGGTGTTTAGGGTTTAGGGTTTGGGGTTTAGGGTTTAGGGTTTAGGGTTTGGGGTTTAGGGTTTGGGGTTTAGGGTTTAGGGTTGTGCTACAAATAGTTTTGCGAAAGGCACCGGTATTGGCTTCCGCAGTTTGCAAGTAAACAAACGCCACCCTGGACCTTAAACCCTAGAAACGCTAAATCTTTCAGTGGCTACAGCCCTATATACCCTAAACCCTAGACCCTAAACCCTAGACCCTAAACCCCAAACCCTAAACCCTAAACCCTCAACCCTCTATAGATCCCTTCAAAGGAACCCTTACAGTACAATTATAGTAACCCATTTAAAGGAACCCTAAGGTACTGAGCCACAAGCAGCTTCAGGCACTTTGTCTTTGTTCTTCTCAAAGTAGTCCGCAGCCTCGACACGAGGTTTCACGTATGCTTGGTATAGCGTGTATCATTACTGTAACATGTGTATTTGTGTGTGTATATATATATATGGCATGCAACGTAAACTACATTATATGCGGATAATACAAAACAAACATCAAATATCATATATGCTGTTGTAGTCCCTGGTTGCTAGAATCTACTTCAACCCTGTCGTAGTTAACAAGGGCCCTGTACTATCTTTAGGGATGAGGGTTGGGGCGCAAACGCTGACAAGGGTTTTGACGCTGGGAGGCTGTTCAGGCTTGCAACTCCCGGTTCTGCATAAAAGGCTGGGTGAGTGAAAGTTCAAGGTTTTACAGCTGGGGTTTCGGGTCGCGACTTACCGTTAATACTACCAGTCTTACCAGTAATCGCTTATATGCTGATGATTACAATTGCTACTACGGACATTGCTCGTATTGCAAAGATCAGAAGTTTCGCAGTGATTAAAAATAGTGTCAGTCGTATTCTTGCGGCTATGGTTCCTATTGCTGTTATGATTGCCATTATCATTGCTATTGCTGACTTATGGCTATCCGGTCTAGAGATTGGGAACAATTGCTTCGGTACTAGCCAAGGAAAGCGCATCTTCGCCGTGATGCCCAGGTACTTAGAGGATCATGGGACTTAGTAAGTATAGGTTATAATTGGGGTTATAAGTCCCCTAAGTGGGGTTATCCTCATTATCACCTACTTAAAACCTTACTTACTAAGTCCCATGAGCCTTTAAGTAAACCCCAAAACCCAAAGCGCGCCCAAACATTGGGTTCAAACCCCGAGCCTTGAGCCTCACCTGCCCGAACCCCTTACATCTAAATGGGGGTTGTTCTAAATTATGGTCCCTATTTGGGGCCCTATAGTAATATAGTCCTTATTATATAAGGCACCCAAGAAGGGACCATAATTTAGAACAACCCCCAAATAACTGGGCAGTTCTCCAGATTAGGGTCCCTTGTTCGATCCCAAACTAGTACGGCATCCTTACAAACAGGACCCTACAACGGACCGTCCGTCATTTAGAGAAGTACTCACGTCGAAACCCCGTAGTCAAACCATAAGTGAAGACCCTAACACAAACCAACATCAAACCGACACTGTAAACCCGTTCAAAACCTTGACACCCTTATCCTTATAAACCGGCAATACAGGGGCCTTAAGAATTACCTCTACTATTTTTTTGGGGGGTTCCTTATTATAAGTATAGTATGATGGGCCCCAAAACCCTTTTGTAATTATTAAGGCCCCTGTATTAGTGAAATGCCTTCATCAAACCATTTCTTAGCCTTTCTAAAGCCACTGTCAACACCTGCTTCAAAATTGGGCTTCTGCCAACCCCTCGCGGCCTTGATGAAAGCCTCCGCGGTGCCTGCGGTTTGCAGTTTCATACAAGCGCTTTAAAAATTACAACAGGCTTTTTAACTGGCATTGCTGTGTGATCTGTAAAGCAGGGGTTCATGTGGTTTTGAAGGGGTCTACTAAAGAATACTTGAAGCTTGAGAAAGGACCAAAAGGGAATGCCTTTACAAATTGTTTTCAGACGTCCATATCAGAGTGTGGAAGTTTTGGGCTTCCAGTTTGAGGTTCAGAATTTAGGTCTTGTCGGCGTAGGGTTTAGAGTTTGGGGTTGAGGTGCCTTGGGATTTACAGTAAGATTTAGGGCTTCGAGGTTTACCGCTTTAGGACTACAGGTTTGTGTCTTGATTCTCGGGTAGGGTTTCGAGCCTTGGCAAGTTCAGGGCTCTGCGGCGGGACTGAGGTGGGGAATTTGGAATAGGGCAAACCTTTTGCCCTGCCAAAACCTCAATGACTCAAACCCCGAACCGTTGGAGCGGACGAGCACTGAACTTTGGTACGGGACGCCTCCCTACTTAAAGGCTCATGAGACTTAGTAAGTATAAGGTTATAAGTAGGTTATAGTTATAGGATAACCCCACTTGGGGGACTAATAACGCCAAGTATAACCTACTTACTAAGTCCCATGATCCTTCAAGTATGGAACCCTTGCGGAAGCCGTTTATACCCTGAACTCAGAAGCCTCCACCCTCCTCCACCCACGTATGGGCAGTTCTCTAGACTGAGTTCCCGGTTTTAGGTGTCCGGCACCGTTATAAGCAGACCCTCACTTAGAGAACTGCCCATGTAGAAAGTGTAGATGGGGCTCAGAGCAAGAAGAAGATTGAAGCTTTGGAGTTTGTAGGTCAGGCGCTTCGGTTGCATACCATGTTCGGATTGTACAAGTCTCACATTGTGAAGAGGTGCTAAGTTTACAGATTGTGGTCTGAGAGCTCAAGTGCTGCAAGATACAAAGCACATAGCAGCACGAATGCTATTTCAACTTGTCAGAGGCTGAGCAAACACGTACAGGTATAAGTAGCGTAAGCAGAGTCTTTCCTACATCGTATCACCCTCAGGACTCGAGATCTTCATTACTGAAGCCCCCTCATCCCTCTAAGTAATTGATATGGGACCTTGGCCTTAACATAGTTAGAATAGGGTTTTGGGGCACATTATACCCTCAGTATATAATAACAAGGAACCCCCCAAAAAAGTGTTTGTAATTCTGTAGGCCCCCATAGTACGCAATTGACAAGCCCTTCTGGCCTTTGTTGCCGAGCTTCTCTAGCATCTGCTCCACGTCGTCGTAGTCCTCCCAGCGTCTCTCCAGCAGAAGGGCGCCGACTGTTATGCGGTTTGGGGTTTAGGGGGTTAAGGTTTAGGTTCATCCCAACGCCAGAAAACCCAACGGCTAATTATCCCCCACCAATATGCAAAACTTGAAGCTTTAAGCCCTAAACCCAGACCCTCAACGTCATAACCTGCACCGCAAACCCTAGTCCCAACACGAAGCCTGAACTCAAAAGCCAAACTCTGGACCTGGGGTCAACGTTCAAACCATGGGCCCCTAGTCTGGCCTTGGGATCCTTATATGCCTACTATATACCCTGTATAGACTCATAAGGGTCCCTAGAACCCCCTCAAAAAGGCCTAAGGGTCTATATCAGGGGCCCATACTTCCAAGCTTGGATATGAGCCCCATGGGCTTAGGCTTTAGGTCTTCGGGTTCCGGGGTTTGGGGTTTAGGGTTCAGGGGTTACGGGTTTAGGGACTTGGACTGAGAAGTGCGACCTTTTGCACCCAACGAGCTTGTCACTGGTTTAGGGTTTCGGATTTAGGGGTTTTGTCTAAGTCTAAGCTTCAAGAGCCCAGAGTCTCATTCAGGGCTTAAAGGCTCAGGGCAGAAGGCCTTCAGGGAACAAAGGGCCCTCAGAACTCCCAAGCCGCAAAACCTTAAAATCAATAAAACCAGAAAAACTAATCCCCTAAACTTTGAAACACCGTGGACCTCAAATTTTACAAAACCTTAGAGCCTGAAATCGAAACCTCAGACCAGCTTCAAAACGTCCTCGCCCACACCGCGCATATCCACGGGGACCATCATCTCCTCATCAGCCACCTGCCCGGATCCCACGTCATTGTTTAGGGTTTAATGCAACGAGATGTGAGGCTTTTTGTTAAGCGCCTCTTTTGCATCCGCCCACGGAAATCCCACATAGGGAAGGCATTGGTTTGAACTGCTTTGCAGCCCCCTCAGAACTTGTAGATCATGACCCATGGATGTGAGGGCTTTTGAGGGTTTTGGATTGAAAGTTAAGGGTTTCGAGTTTGGGGTGAAGGGTTGAGACCCTGTGGGTCAACAAGGACGATCTTCTGGTGAAGGGAAGCGCGTAAGCTGCAACACCTACCTCATTGAAGCAAATCTTCGATATAATGGGTTAGAGAAGCTTGCCGTACGCATTCTCATAGAATTTTCCTGGGTTCTTCCTTCAGTACTACATTACCCATGGTCCGCCATGTGAAAATTTCTCAGAAAAACTCCCCATGTAGGTAAGGCATCTAATTTGATACGAGTAGGACAGCATGATCGTGCTTTGGTGCGTCTAATTATGATGCTGCGGGCTTTAGCTTAGCGCTTCGGGATTGCAGATCTAAGTTAAGGTTTAGGATTTGGCACACCTGAGACTTACAGTCACCATCATAGCATCGCTATGCGTCGCTGAAGACGTCAGGACCACCCATCAAGAGAATCGTGATCGCTGCCATCCTCACCATCGACATCACCAGCAGCATCACCACGGCGGCAGCCACCAGCACCAGCTCCAGCACCAGCAACAGCAGCTGCACCGCCAGCACCACGATAACCAACACAAAACGCATGCGACGGACAGAGTCGTAGTCATCGTCAGCATCATCACCATCACCACGAGCATGATTAACATGGTCGAAACCTGCGAATCTCCAAAGAGCTAGCCATCCCTTTTTAAACTGAGGCCAGAGTGACTGTGACGCCTTGTCTGGCAATGTGAGTTCATTCACCAGGTCCTCCGTGATGTCTTCGCCCTTCCTGGATTGAAGTACCCTTCAGGATTTAGGGCCAAAGCGATTTACCCCAAAACCTCAATAATGCAAGATTGCAAGTACAAGACAGGTGCGCAGACTAGGCCCAAATGCTCAACCCTGGATTTAAAAGCAGAAGCGCCGTAAACCGCAAACCATAAATCCGGAATCCTACATAAACCCTAAACTCCTCAAGGCCAGAACGGGTCCTGCTGTTGCTACCTTTCTTGCAGCGAGCATTGCAAATCTCAAAACCCTTGAGATCTAAACTCTATGTCGTCATGAACCCTAAACTCTAAACCCTGCACCATTCCAGCCGAGATACTCGAGCTTCCTTAGTCGCACGGAGGAATCACGAGAGTCTTGATATCAGGGGCTTCAGTTTTGACTAGGGCTGTAAGAACTATTTTTGCAAGGCATTGACTGTGCTGTTGTGCTTGTACAGGCTTTAAATGCTTAGAATAGGGTTTGGCGGTATCTTTATACTATAGCTACACGTGGCCTTGCAGGGGATGCAGCGTCAAACTCGCGAACCCCTGAACACTCAAGCCCCAAACCCCAAACCTAAGGCCTTAAGCCTTAATCTCCAAAACCCGCGCCCCGGAAAAAAAACACGCACAAAAGCACCCTGAAACGTTAAGCCTGAAGCCCTACCCAGAAAGTTTACACCGTGAGCCCTACAACCTAGCATCCCAACCCCCCCCACCCACCCACCCACCCCCCCACAAAAAAGCAGCAAAATCCACAAGCCCTAGACCCCTTCTGGGAACACTGAAACTCAGGGTAGGGTTTTTGGATTTAGCGTTTAAGGGCTTTTTGGGTCTGGGGTTGGGGGTTTAGGGTTCGGGGTTTAGGGTTTGGGTTTAGGATGGTTTAGGGGTTTAGGGTTTGGGTTTAGGTGTTTAGGGGTTGGGTTCAGGGGTTTAGGGTTTTGTTTGGGCTTAGCTCGAAGAGCGCCCAGGCACTCTTTGACGGTCTTCAGTGCCTTCTCGCACACGTAGAAGATGTCCTGCGAGCTGAGAACACAGAGACTCCACAAAGTGGGGTTTAGGATTTGGGTTTAGGGTTTAGGGTTTGGGGTTTAGGATTTAAGGCTTTGGGTTTAATCCAGGGTGTATAGGCATGGGGTGTAACACTGTTCAGGATCGAGGGCTCAAGGGTGGGAATATTCCCGCCTACGGTTTGGGGTGGAGGGTGCCTGACGGAAGAACGGAAGAATTTAGTACCCCTGAAAACGGAATGTAAGGGTGCACAGTTGAGGTTTCGGGTTTGAGGGTCTATAGGGCTTAGAAAGCTCCTTTTCAGGGAAAGTTTGTTATGATCTCCCTTCAAGCAAGGGGTTCGGCTTCCCTGAGTACCGCAACAACCGGCATGCGCAAAAGCTCCAGTTTAGGGTTTAGCTGTGGGTTTGGTGTCCGAAGACCTTGGCATCGAGCCTGAACCTTTCACCGTTCTTGTCCTGAAGATGAACTCATCGCAACGACTCGCTTAAGCCAACCATCCTGTTCAGCATGCAGTATCTGCACTAGCTGAAGGTGGAGTAGATCAACCCTAAAACCCTAAACCCTTAAGCCCAAAACCTTAACCCTACTAAAAGGATCATGGGACTGAGCTTCTGGGGTTATACATTAGGTAACTATACTTATACTTACTTATAATCCAATTTAAGGCACTTGCAACCTCACTACTAAGTCCCATGATCCTCCAAGTACATCCTCAAGTCTAAACCCCAAATCCTGAACCTAGTAATTCACCAGACATTGCTATTTCCAGCTTACGAGTCGCATCAATATTTGATTCGTGCGAACATGCTTGAATGACTAACTACTGGGTTCTTGTTAAGGAACTTAATATAACTTACCATGATAAGGAAGCCCTATTATTTACTATAGATCCCTACTATGGTAGCTTGAATTGCTTGCTGCTGTTGAACCTTCCACAGTACCGGCACTCCCGAAACCCTAAACCCTAAATGCCAAACCCTAAACCCCTTCAACCCTAAGCCCTAAACCCCAAATCCCGAAACCTAGGTATAGGGGATCTTTATATCCTAACCTAAACCCAGAACCCTAAACCCCTATAGATCCCTGAAAGGAGCCCTTGCTAGAGGTCCTGAGCTTCTTCCTCGGGAGCTGCGGCCATGGTGTCTTTTTCAACGAGACGCAGACGGACGGGAGCCGGAGGACGGGGCAGAGGGTAGAAATGAGAAGTCGGTCGGAGCCCTATGGGACGAGAGAGCGTTTGCTTGGGAGGGGCGGGAATGCACCATCGGACGCACATGCGATGCCTGAGCTTGCCCTGTGAGCCACGTGAGTCGATTTGTTTTGTCAACAACGACGCCGACAAACATAGCAGCAAAAGCAACAGTAATCATGAACCCTAAACCCTTAATCCCTAAACCCTAATGATGAAGACAAGCAAGCGATTGAAAAGGTCATGGTCATGACCACAGTGACCCTGAGGATGAATATCAGTGTAAAGTTTCAGTGAAGATGCAGATGGGCACGAAGATAATCGTGATGCTGCTGATGAAGATGAAGACAACCACCACAACCGCCACCGCCACCGCCACCATCACCGCCACCACCACCGCCGCCGCCGCCACCACCACCACCACACCACTACCACCACCACCACCAGCATCATCATTGCGGATCCCAAAGCTAAACCGAAGCCTCAAAACAACACCCTGAACCACGTACACACCGGACGCACTAAATCCTGCAAGCACCACCCCTGCGACCCAACAAGGAACGATCTACTCTAGCCGAAAACGGGCGAGTCGAAAGGCTATCAAAGCCCCCAATATGCTTTGGGGGTATGTTGTACTATCGTCCTAATAAGGAACCCCCACCCAAAATAGTATAGGTAATTATTTATGCCCCTATATTAAACCCTAAACTGTGGCCCTTGTTATCAACTGTTGCGGTCCCTTTCTGTGCGGCATCGCTTTTCCACTTCTCTGCTTTGCCACAGCCACCTCAGAATCTCGCATCCTGAAGGCCTTAGCGTAAGGTGTTCAGCGTTTGTCCCGGTCATTTTGGGGCTAGGCTGTAGGGTACCATATTATAGCACTTCTTCTACGGCAATTCGGAGGTCCCTTTACGCGTTCCTTTAAGGGATCTACAGGGGTTTGCTATGCCTTTTGGGCGAAATTATTAGAATCCAGAATTAGGAATGTATACAAAGACGCGAGTGGTGTTTAGGGCTTCGGCTTACTAATACGTGGCAATGCTATCAATCTAAAGTTGACTCACCCTAAGGGTCCATGTACCCATATAGCATAGACTTTGGGCCCAATGTACCTATATAGGGAGTACTTTGAGTCCAATATATATACTATATGAGTACATGGACCCTTAGGGTCATGAGTGTTTTGGAACACTTACTCTCGTATTCTTGCAATGTCACACATGATGTTGTGTTCTACCACATCGCTCACTGCACTGTGTTGTACTGGGTTCCGAATTCCGAAACGCTGCCACTGTATATCACCAACTACCATGAACAAAACACCCTAACCATGTCAGAAGACAGTAATGAAGCAACATGCTGAAACCCAAATAGCAGGACAGACTGCCACACGGTCAGAACCCTAAACCCCAGACTTTCCTTTCTGCACAGTTCACCGACCAGACCGCTTACGTAACCCGATATGGCCCGAAATACTAGTTACTAGATACTTTTCGACATGACTCTTTCAGAGTTGTTGTTGCTATCTCTCAGGTTTGAGCAGATTGGTTCGCTTTGGGTCGGAAGGTTTCTTCGGTCAAACCCCAAAACCCTGAGGGATTCCTTGGGTTAGTGTCTGCAAGGTTTGTGTGGTGGTTTTTCAGGGTGTTTTGGGACTCGGGCCCAGGGTTTGGGATTTATTTTTGGGGGTTTAGGGCTTGGGGTTCTGGGCTTTGCGATTCAATAACTTAGGGTGTAAGGTTGTATGCCAGGCTCCTTGTCCACGTTTGCGACGGCCGCATGAGACCTGCCCAGCAGCATCTGGAACGTGACGCATATGGGAGTTTCCGAAAATGTTGGGTACCTCGAGGAGAGGAGAGGGAGAGGGATGTAACACAAAAATAATTGCAGCAGAGCACCTTAAACATCCTTAACTACACCCTGCGAACAGTGGCCGTAGACAACAGAACACGCCTTGTTCTGGTGAGGCGGCGCGGAGGCCGAAGGAGTGGGAAAATGGGCATCACATGGAATACGGAGTACATAAACTAGGTTTAGGGTGTTTGCGCACCTGTGAACTAAACTAAGCAGACACCCCCCACAGCTCCTTGAAGCACCCCTGCGAAGCTGCTACACTGCCTTAACCCTAAACCCGTATTACACCCTGAACCCAAAACCCCTGAACCCGAAAGGTGGCTTTTTCACAGCCTCAAATCCTGGGCCTGGCTTCAGGCACCTCTCTAGGGGCATTCTGGGCTTCTGGAGGAGGCTTACCCCCAGTCTCTACAGTCCCTGCGGAATGGCTGGGCATCCAGTTTGCCTGCTCCTTCGCGATGGCCTGCTCCGTTTCTATTATCAGCCTGGCGATGTTCTCCATGGAAGCCCTCTCCACTTCGGTCAAGTGCTTCCACCAGTTCAACAGCCGGGACATAGTCCGGACAGCACGTGAATAACGCTCCACCTTGCTTCCAGCATCAACGAACTCAGACCATGTCGTGCTGCTGGATGAGAAAGCAGTGATGATCACAACAGCCGTCGGCTGACCAAATCGGGCGAGGACGGCACATGCAACAGTGCAGGACAGAACGAGAAGCTTGAACACCCAGGCATGAAAAATGTAGGTGGGAAGCCTCTTCTGATACCACTCCATCCTTCGCATCAGCCGGAAGCTAATGTACAAATCTGGCTGCACGGGTGAATAATGATCATCTATGGCGGCATCCTCAACTGCAGCTTCGTTTCTATCCGGGTCCCCTTCACACTGCTGGTGCCTATGGATGGATGACGAAAAAGACTTACTCCACGCACTGCGCTGTAAATCACCAGCTGCAAAAAGATCCTCCGTCCACTCATTCAGCTGCCTGCAAAAGACGATTTCAGGATTTCGAGGATCTTGCGCCGGACCCATGCGGAATTGCCCAACACGAGTGCGATACAGCCACATCATCGACTCGAGTGCAGTGGCTCCGCCCCTTAATGCTTGCCATTTCGGCTTGGGCCTGAGATACCCCTCGACCGACACGACGGCCCCGTGCAGAACTGCCAGTACAAAAACGATGTCTGAGGAAGCAAAGGATGAAGTGGCTCCCAGCTGAACTTGCGAAAACAAGATCACGAGCCATGCCAGCAGCAGCTGACACACATACAAGACTTTCGTTTGTATCTTGTACCTGTTCGCCAAGTGATGTGCTACATCGCACTCGCACCAAGCCTGCTGCATCAACAGCAAACCTTCCAATGAATTCGTCCTCGGAAGCCGATCGGATTGAATTAAGTTATTGACGATTCGCTTGGCTTCGGCCATGTCATGTATGTTGACTTGGTGTGCCTGCGGGCTCACCAGCACACTCCGTATCTGAGAGGCGAGTTCGACAGCCTTTTTGTCATATATCTGTTCGAACTCGTCAGATAGGGGCCTCCCTAGTGCTTTCCTGCAGTCTTGCAGCACGCGGCCTGCCAGACGTCGGGCGATGTCCATCACCTGAGCATCTGTTGCCTCCCACCGGTCCTCATCGAGGTCGACAGAACTGACTTGATGCTGGCGTTCTGCGCGAGCTTCCTTAATCGCCTCGTGTAGAGGAATGACTCTTCTCTGCTGCATGAACCCTGCACGGGCATCATCTTTCTCCGGGAAATGATATAAAGCATGGTGGGCATAAGCAACGTTACAGACATCGAGAGAATCGCATTTTCCCTCTGCAAGCAGGGCATCGCAGCCCTCCACGAGCTTCGCCCATGCAGCTTCTATGAACCTAGGTTACCCAGTAGCGCCTGAATAATGAGGGTACCCTTTTTCCTAGTAATTCTGAACAGGGGAACCCTGAAACCCAACAAAAACAAAAGGATATTGCTGAAGAGCCTAGGTACTGCGCGCGCGACACCCATTGGCCACCACCTGGAACCTCCATTGGGCGCGGGCGCAAATCAAGCAGCAGCAGCTCGGTTCCGGCATGGACCTAATTAGGTTTGGTTGTCAGCGTTAGGGCTGGAACTTAGGGCTTAGGCTTCGGGTTTCGTGCTTATGGCCACAAACCCGGAACCCGAGACCAAAAATGCAACCCTTATATACGGGGTAAACCCACATGGGTTTGCAGAAAAACCGAGCCCCGGATTTCTATCTTACTTTCTTCCTTATCGTATGACTGACAAGTCGCAGGCTATGTATATACAACAAGATCATAGGCACGGGGAAGAGTCCTAGCCGACCCCAAACCCCTATTGAAAGTAGCAAACGTCCGCCAACTGCCAAACTGTCCCTATCATGGGGCAACGTGGACGGCTTTATTTCTGACGGTTTTATGATGTATCCGTACCACACTGCTGCATGCTGGCAGCGAAAGGTTACAGTGGTTCCTTATCCTTTGACGTTGATTGGAAGCTCTGCAACCGGCTTGTTCGCGAAACCCACCTTCCTGCCACCTGCAACTTGCACACAAGTTTGACCCCACCTGTCCAACTCACTTTCCCCATCACTTCCACAGGGCTTCAACAAGACTGCTTGTACCGACGACTTGTGACACCCTGCCTGGTTCAAGCATACCTGCCATGTCTTGTCTGTCGTCGAGTTGAACTTGGCCACGTACCCAGTTCTCAATGCAATGGATGGTAATGTGCTGCTGAGGAAGCGCACAAGCTCGTTTCTGAGTTCATTCCCCGGCTTGGCGTCAAAGTGCTTGCGGGTGCTGCCCATTTGGTCAACGATCAGAAAGCAACAGCCATCTCTATCCAAATCGTGATTTAGATCCGTGCTCCCTGGGTAGAACCCCTGGAATCCTTCGGCATGCACCATCTCGAGGAGTGTCCGGTCGCGGCTGCTCCAAGATTTAGATTTCCTGCGCAAAGCTCGCCAGTAAGCATCTGGATCCGAGTTCAGATACAGCAATGGGGTCATCACCGTGGTGTAGAGGATTGTGAAAGGAGGGGATGGCCCCCACCTTGCCTGCTGCTGTCTGAAGGCACGCGACAGTGCG